ATATATATATATATATATATATTATTAATTAATTAGTTATATATAATATTATATATATATATATATATATATATATATCTAGATGATATATCTTTATTTTCATCCGTAATTATATACGACTGCACGTATACAACACAACGTTGCTCCATGTCAATTCTGACTATTTAGCCAAAAATTTTGATCATATATAGGCCAAAGAGAGGAAGGAAATTTACTTTTCTCATTCTGCTTAATTAATTCCAGTAAACAATACTCGATTTTATTGCGTGCGTTGATCATAAAAGTGTATCGCAATATATTAATACATTTTGAAATAGAAAGATACAAAACTTTAAAATTAAGCACAACTAAATTAATTTTATTAAAAAAAATTGTTTAAAAAGAATTTTTAAGATTCATAGCCTTCAATATTCTTATTAACTAAATTGTGATAGAAGTTCGAAAGAATTACAAATCTTATTATGAGAAAATTTCTTGCATTTTTCAGCTTGATAATATAATAATATAATAATATAATAATATAATAATGGTAATATGGTAAAAATATTAAATTTCATTAAATATTAATTTTTATTCAGGTTTGGTTGTATCATAAAAATATTAAATTATTTAATAAATTTTTATGTTTCTTTCTTTATGTATACCATTTATTTTTGAATATATATTTTGCTTATAACAATTAACACAACTTTAATCTCACATTTTTTATAAGCAAATTTTAATAATTAAATTTAAAAAAAATTTTTTTTAATTTTACCTTAAGTATCTTTTTTATTTTTATTAAAAATTTTTTTTTAATTTTATCTTAATTTTATCTTATTTTTTTATAGAAACTTAACTATATTATATATTAAAACTTGACTATATTATATTGATACTATATATTAAAACTTAACTATATTATATATTAAAAATGTGGCTATATTATATATTAAAATTTATTGTTGCTCCTTTTCCATGATAGATATCCTCATTTAAATACGTTAGCACGTAATTTTAAAATTAGAGATGATATCCGTTCGCGAATATCATATAAAATTACGTGCTAACGTATTTAAATGAGGATATCTATCATGGAAAAGAAGCAACAATAAATTTTACTTTAAAGCACACGTCTCTTTTAGATTGGATTTGTCACATATCTCATTAAGCTTTGTGAAAGTTAGATGTCGTATCTCTTCTACAGTAAGGATGATGGCGAATTCTCTTTCTATAGTTTGCTTGATTTCCACAGCCATCAAAGAGTCCATTCCAAATTCAGTCAAAATTGCATTTTGTCTAACAACTTTCACATCTTTTATATCTGGAATCAAAAATAAAAAATTATTATAATTTATATTGTGTAAAATAATGTAGTAAATACGATAAGTACATATGTGCAATAAATAACTAAGTTCGTATATTACTTAAAATATTGACAACAGTTTCTATCAAACTGCTAAATCCGGAAGATTCGGCTTTCTTTTCAGTAGGCAAGACCATACTGTTCACAACTGGGCAGTTTTGAAGTAAAAATTTTTCAAGCTTTTCAAGGCAGCACGATAACTTTTGCTGCAATGTACCGCTAAGAATCAATTCTTTAGAATTGTCCTTCTGCAACACATCGGCAACGTAACCCACGTCACATATAGAACCCCATTGAATCGCCAATCCGGGTAATCCCTCTTGCATTCTTCTCTCACATATCCTTTCTATGATAGAATTGGCCATGCCATAATTAGTCTGTTCAGCGTTTCCTCTGCCGCAGTTAATAGAAGAGAATACTACAAAATGTCGTAATTTAGGGCAGATCTTTCTAGAAAGTTTGTCCAACATTTGCGTTGCCCAGGCTTTTGGTCGGAAAGACTCCGCAAAGGTCTTCGCGGTTTGATTTTTCAGAAGGCCATCCTTTAGCACCATAGCGACATTGAATATTGCGTCCACCGGTGCTTGTCTTTCCACAGTTCTTAAGAGATGTTCGCAATCCTCGGAGACATCAACATTGACATTTTTAAAAATCAGAACGTTTACGCCACAGGATTTCCAAAATTGAATTTTCATGCGTTGATACCCATTTTTTATACCACTGCGCGAAATAAGTACGACGTTTTTAGCTCCTCGGCATATCAGCCAGTCGGTCAACTCCAGACCAAATCCACCCAGACCTCCTAGAATAATGTAACTCTTGTCTTGGACGCAGTAATAGCGGCGTTGTGCAACAACGTGCTCATCTAAAAGTTTATCTCTCTCTTGCATATTTATAATTACCTGAAAAAATATTTACATATTAAAGAGACACATTGACTCATATGAAACAATTTCTATTGTTTCCTATAAAGATATCGTATACATATAATTATTTTTACTACTATTACTTTACTACTTTACTATTAGTATTACCATACCTTTCCCATATGTTTTCCACTCGCCATGTATCTGAAAGCTGCTTCAATCTCTGATTTCAGGAAAACTTTCGCTTGAATTGGTTTAATGGCACCATTCTTAAGACCGTCAGCCACCATATTAGATAATAAAGTTTTATATATATGGTTGCCATTTAACATATTATCAAGTAGAATGCCATAAAAGCTAATACCTTTTTGAAGTATGGACATATCTAAAGGGTTATTAGAAATCATTTCTATCTTGTCAATCTGCAAGAAACGACCGTTTTGCGCTAAACAGCGAACGGATGCGATTAGCTTTTCTTCCGCCAAGGAATTCAACACGATGTCGACTCCGCGACCGTGCGTTTGCCGCATTACCATTTGCTCGAAACTGGTGTCTCGAGAATTTCCAATATGTTCATCCCGAATAGTCGGAAATAACTTTTTAATAAAATCTCGTTTGTCGCACGTGCCTACGGTAGTAAACACCACACATTCTTCTTGGAGAGCGAGATGAATCGCTGCTTGCCCAACAGCACCAGTGCCCGAGTGTATAAGTATTTTATTACCCCTTTTTATTTTTCCACGAATATACAAAGCGAAATAAGCTGTGCTGTAAACGCACGGGATCGTTGCCGCCTCTTCAAATGTCCACGTATCCGGTATTTTCCAACAGAATGTTTTATCTTTAGCAACAATATTTGCTATAGAACTATAGATAAAAGAATTTTATTTTATTTTTTTACTGAATTATATAGAAGTAAAATAATATTATATATCAGCGTAAAATATACAAATGGAAATGTATTTATTTACTCAGTATCACAAAGTCCCATTACGCGTTGTCCGTCAGCATCAAATCCCACATATTCCATTCCGAGAGGTGTATGCGTAAAACGTCCTTGGGAATTCAATTTTTCTAATTTTCCAGTGGTCAACATTACATCCTTAAAATTCAGTGATGAGTAGACCACATGTACTAAATCCTCACGACGAAAATTAATGGTCCTATCGTTTTCTACCCAACAAAATGAACTCAGATCGCCTCTAACCTACACAAATGAATATTAATTTAATATAATAAAAAGTTTTATAATATATCATCTTTGCAAGTATTTATACATACAGTTTGGCAGAGATGGGCGGATGGTACAAATTCGGTTGTTGATTGCGGTAATCGCAAATGTCTGTACGATCCCCACATCTTATTAGGTCGTAATACATTAATGCTCATATCTTTTTGTAATTGCTGTACATAAAAGGAATTCTGTAATGAGAATTTTGGTGCCTCCTTATCTTGAATAAACACACCCCTGACTCGCGTTCCACCTGGCTCTTTTCTTAAGCAATTGACAAAACCTAACACACCACAATCAAAATCTTTTTCGCCTACAATTATAATTCTACTCTTTCTTTCATTCTTATTTTTATCGCTCAGAAGTAGCTTTAAATTCTCCAGCCAATTAAAATTATGATTATTTATATAAACAACGGTCGTTTCTTCTATACACATTTTATTTTTCAGAAGTATTATTGTTTCTTTGTCGGTGCGCTTTTCAAGAATAACGTTTAATTGATATTGCTGCAAATATTTATCAGAAACAGTTAAATTGCAATTTTCACGAGTTAAGATAAAACCACCCTCTTTGAGGAATGGCAAAACTCGTTCTTCTAAGATTTGCTGTTTTGACAAAAGATTAAATCCGCAAATTATTATAACTTTATCTTCTATAGATGATTTTGTTAAATTTCCGATTGATATATGTGGCGATAGATTCACTGGATTAAAACGATTTGGCGACGTTAATAGATTGATATCCACTTGTACCAAAGGTATATCGCCAAAAGCATCAACCAACATCGAAGAGGAGAGATCTTCTACTGCAACGTTATCGATATCTTCCACTATCTCGATGGCGTTTACTTTCATGATTTGATGATCGTCAAGTACAAGTTGTGCGCATACTCGTATTACTTTGTCTAAAGACATTTTAGCATAATCATGATGAGCTACAAAAACGTATTCCTGTAGAACAGGATTTTGAGCTATTTTTCTGCAAGAAATTTGGGTGGTTTTAAGGCCGCGTATCTCTATTCCGCCGGCTATAATTGTATCTATTTCTTTGTATACTCGTATCGGCATTTCTGTAATAATACATCTTCGATAATACACAACTTTTCTTTAGAAAAATTTTCTATATATGTTATACGTTATAATTGTCTTACTAAAATTAATGATTATTCATAAACACAAAGAAGTTCTAATTAAAGAATATTTACGTTTTTCTTCTTCTGTTATTTCTTGTAGCTTTTTCTTGTGAAGTAGAGGATTAATGATTAATTTTTGAATACTTGTCGTAATATATAATTCTGAAGTATTGTATCCGAGAATCTGCATCTGTAGCATGTTATCCATGAATGTAACCCAATTGCCTGTCCAAACGATACGTCCTTTGTTACCTGAAATAGATGCGGTTTTCAATCCACGAAAGCAGCTGCTGTATTGATAATCACGTAGCTTGAATTTTTGTAGCTTGTAGATATCTTGTTCAGTCATATGTTCTTCTTCATCATTATCCTCTGGTAATAAATCTGTCGAAATCATATCCTGTTCGGGATTCGCTGTCTCGTACACTGTACCTGTTACTACAGTGCTATCTTCTTCAGTAATTTCAAACTTCCCATCTATTAAATTTGTATATTTGTATATAATTATACGCACTCGTGCGGTTATATTATTTTCAAATTATTTATTCCATATATACCTTTACGAATCGCAATAGTCAATTTAATGACATTATCTTTTGCCAAGTGAATAGCACGAATGAAGCTTACATCTTGAAATATTATTGGTAAAGTTGTATATATTTGACCTTTCATCATTCCGACAGTTTGCCAAACCAGTGCAAGATAACCCGTCGGAGGTAACAAATTTCTCCCATCGATTACATATCCAGCCATATAATCGTAATTTTCATCTTTCAATGCAATCTCGACGCATCTTTCTCCAGATTTCATGCGCTTCTGTGCTTTATAGGTTGGTACAAACCAATCTTCCGAATGATCCCACCTAACACGAAACAACAATTTAAAACATTTTTTTTTATATATCACTATACCAATTTTAATATATGCAATAATGCCACTTTTTTAGAAACAGTACTTATATATATATATATCAGAGATACAATAACACTATAAGTATACCTGATCGATGGTGAGATCATTGGAGTGCCTCTTCTAACTGGAAAGTTCACTGGCGGATATAAATTAGCTATTCGCGGCTGTAAACCACAGTTGTATAGCTTCCCAATTCCTTGTAGAATTACATCCGTATCTCGTTCATGTATTTCATTTGTGCGTTGTGTTAATATTATATTTGTTACTTCCGAATGTAAAGACTGATTTAAAATGTTTTGCAAAACGCTATCGGGTGCGATTTCGATAGTCACAGCATTATTTTGAATTAAGTGCATTGTTTGTTCAAAGAGGATAGTATTTATTATGCTATTTGTATGATATTCTGCCGATGATAGTTTTGATGTTGAGATGGACCATTTGGTGTGATGTACGGAAGTACTAATCCATTTTAAACTGCGTTCCTTTGGCTCTGGTATTATTTCGTTCAACTTCAGCAAAAGTTGCGTTTTCACGGAAGAAATGTAACAACTGTGATATGGTACGTTACAATAAATTTCCTTTACGGAAATATTATCATTCTAAAAATAAAAAAAGAATTATCAAAGTACATGAAATTAAAGTGTTCGAAATTTTTAAATGTATATATAAGTTTATATCTTAAATCTATAAATTTAATATTTCAATTTTTATTCACTTTTCAATTGCAATAATTAATTAATTTTACCTGTAGCTTCGTTATAAACTTTTGAATGGATTTCACGGGCCCGCTCACAATGTTGTTGTATCGATTATTACGGCATATTATTTCAATATCCGTCGGACATATATTTTTGAGCTTTTCATAATCAAGTCGGATGACCGCCGCAGAGCTACGAATTATTTTCCTATCTGTACATGCCATAGCAATAAAATATGCTGAGACAATGGTCTGTTCAATGGTAAGACATTTATCCGCGTATGCGCAACCTAGTTCACCAGCGGAATGACCAATCATATAATCCGCAACAATTCCTAATGATGTTAAGAGATCTACTAATCCAATCTATAAATATTTTTTAATATAAAGTTTTGATGATTAATTATTATATTGTGTATTATATTATATTATCGGTTATATTATATTATTTATAAATTATTAAATTGAATGTATTTTATTTATTACTATAAGAGATAAGGGGAATATGCTACTCTAGAGAAGTTTAAGTCATTAATAGTCATAGACGAGATGATATAAAATCGATTATATTTATTGCTTGTCAGTAAACATTGTGTTCTTAATATATAAATAATATAAAATTTATAGCTTTGAATTGTACTTTACCTGAACAGCGACGATTCCAACGAATGCGTGTAACGCATAGTTTTCGCGTATTTTTTCATCTTTTCTTGTCAAAATATCTGTTATACTTATATCATATGGTTTTAAAGTTGCATCGCATATTCGAATGGCGTTTGCAAAGACATGAAATTTCAATAAAGTTCGGCCTGTAAAATTTGAATTTAAAAATAAGATTATTTTCTTAAATATTCATCTCAAATATTTTATTATATATAAAATATTGAATATTAAATATGTACCCATTTCAGGCCATTGCGTGCCTAAAGAAGAAAATATAAACCAAACAGGCCGCTTTACATTTTTAAATTTTTGTATTACTTTTATTGAATTCTGTTGCAAAGTATTTAACTCATTTGCAATATGATGAAAATGAGATTTTGGTGTCAGCACTTTATGTGGAAAAAAAAATTTGTTAAATTTCGATATGATTTTAATATTAAAGTTTTTGAAGTTGCTGGTAGCACATCTTTCTTCTGTGCACATACGTTACATACATTGTGAAGGGGTTAATATAGTATATCCTCTCCATGAATGGCCATCTATATTGTCTGCATGGATATCGTGTAGTAAACGTATATATTCTACATCTATCGGATGATTAGCGACCTACAACGAAAAACTTTGACACGTAAATGCAATATATTATGTGTATAATAGCATAATGTAATTTTAACATTATTTTTGTTTCTTTTTATGATATAATGTTTATTGTACAATATTAAAGTTGCTTTTGAAATAGCTACTAACATCAGTTAAGAACAATTTTACTGATTCTTCCGTGCGTCCAGACAAAGTTACAAGTCTTGGTAAATCATCGTCCGGTGCTGCGGTATTAATCTTTGATTTAATATTCCACTTGAATAAGATGTGTACGTTAGCTCCACCGAAACCGAAGCAATTTGCAGCTACATATCCATTTTTAACTGGCATTGGTTCTGTTATGATTTCGACACTTCCATTGTGTAAAGCATTTATATCGTTTCGTGGTGATGTATAGTGAATGTTTGGTGGAATAAAGCCGGTTTCGAATGCTATTATTATCTTCAAAAATAAAAAATTTCCTTCAATATGAAATATAAATTTAAATTGTTTTGATTTAATTAGGCGGAAATTAGTTAACTACTTCATTGCTAATATTAATTATTACATCGTATTATTATTGTATTATTATCGTTAATATACATAAAATAATGGAAAGAAATGTAAATTCCTAAGGTTTTGGTTTATTTTCAATGATGAGAAGTTGAAAAAAAAATAGAAATTTATATATTTAAACAATAATTAATAAACAATGTCGATAAAATATTTTTGTAATCAAGACTACTCAAAATTCGAAAGAGATATGTTGTTCACAACAATTATAAAGTCGAGTAATAAAAATTTGATCTATATATGCACAAGACATCATAAACGCATAGAAGTAGACAAATCCGCCATACATACGAAACATAACTTCGTCTTGATAGTCAAATAAAATCAATCAATTAAAAACGACGATCAGTAATTAAGACTAATGCTGTTGATTTAACAGCATTTTTTTTCTCAGTGTAATACTGTCAATATTTTTTGAGAAAAAAGAAATCTATAATATCTACAAAATATTTCGTGCTTATAAAATACAATAAAAATTAATATAATAATAAAAAATTTTACAGTTTACCTTAGCGATTTGCGTGAGACCGCTGGCAGCTTCAGAATGACCAAGATTGGATTTTACGGAGCCGATCATTAATGGACTTTTTCTATTTTTACAGATGACATTATATATAGCATTAATTTCCGCAGGATCACCGACTTTAGTAGAAGTACCATGTGCTTCAAAGTAATCCAAGTAAGATGTCGGTATTTTACATTCATTATAAAATTCCTCAAGTAAGATACTCTGCATAGTTGTCGACGGAAACGTTATTCCTTCTGCTTTGTAACCATCATTGTTCATTTTAGCATGTGAACATATGGCATAAATTCTTTTCGCATTTTTTGCTTTTTGAAGATATATCACAGCCACTGTTTCGCTACGTGTATATCCATTTGCAGCGACATCAAAAGGTCTACAGCAACCATTGGGTGACAAAATACCTAAATTACACATAATTTGTGTACCGCAATATATAATTTATTAGTTGATGTCTCAAAAAATTAAATGATAATCTCTCTAAAAAATACACAATACGTTCAAATCTAGCAAGTGTATTTTATTATAAATAGCTTTTCAAAAGTTACACAGTCTATTTTAATTATTTCGATTTTTAAATTATTTATTTTTTG